CCCCAAAACCCCAAAACCCCGAGAAATTAATTGAAATAAGAAATTAGCGATTAAATCAGGAAATTAAGAAATATAATTGAAGAAAGTAAAGTAATGGAGGCAGTTGGCAAGACAGCAAATCCCTATATTTACGGAGCAGTCACTTTCACTCTGATATTCTTAGCGACAATGCTCTATGCTCTTTTCAAAACTTTTTCAATCATGAAGAAGCTGACCATCATCAGCAAGCTTATGGTGAGAGCATAGCAAGAAAAAGACTAAGATCATATGAGGTTTATTCATAAATAAAAAACATTCAGGAAATAATCTGATGGTGAGGTATTTAAGGACTTGAAGGAGAAAATACTAAATAATAAGTTTTCTTATGAAGTCATCATTGAGGAAAATTTCACCTTTTGTTAAAGATTCAAATACTACTCATTGAAATATAATCCATTCACTTATTGGATACTGAAGCAAAAGCAAAGACCATATGTTAAAAAATATACAATAACCTTGAGATTCTAGAATATAACACACTTCCTGTATAGCTGTTTAAATTAGTGGCTTATCATTCCTATATTTCTTCTCATATTCTTTAGGTCAATAGAAAATTATACAGCAGTCGTATTACTTGCTATGATTTTTAGCTAGATATGCACTATCAGCATTAATCTGCTGCTTACTAAATTACAGCAAAAGCAAAAATGTAAATATATTAAGAAAGCCTTTGATAATCCCTTTGAAAAGGAAGTTGATTATGCTGAGACCAAGTTAACAGCTGAGGAATAAAAAATGAAAAGCAGTAAAATGATGGATTAGCTATCTCTTAAACTCAACCTAAATTTCTTATAGTAAATAAATCAGACAAATACGAATAACAACTACACATCAGAGTAAATGTTCTCAACTCAAAATGAAACTGAGTAATGCTAGACCTATAATACCATGACTGATCTAAACTCAGCAAGGACTATGCTGAATAAGGATGATAGGTTTGCCAGATCTCTTGCTCGAACTACTAAGGACTTAGAACTAGTGAGGCGTAAAACCGGCTTTTACAAGATCAGTCACAGGCAACTTGAAGAGGAAATTAATGTTTAATGCGGAAGATTTAACATTTACACAATCATCATTATATAGCTAGTTTTGCAGTTCCTATTTAGTGGTATTGTCTGTGTAATATTTGTGAGTTTTACTAAGGAGTAAATGATGTATGTGTTTGCCACTTTCATGCTAGCAGTAGTGTCTGAGATTCTGTTTCTCAGATAAATGTTCATTCTAGCCTTTTGCATTTATGGCCATTTCAGAAACCGCTAGATAAAGATATTTAGAGTTGAGGATTACAAGCTGTATCCTTATTACTATAGGATAATTAAAAAATACTCCAAATTAAAGCAAAAGATCAACATTACTGAGTATGAGGAGTCTGACAGTTTTAACACTTACTAGATAGAAGAACGCAGACCTGAGTCAGAATAAGTGTCTAAGTCTATAAGCAAAACAGAGGAGGTAGATATTGTATCTTATGCTGTTCATGAAGATGGTAGTAGGCTGTCTATTGGTCACACTGATGAAGCTGGCATGGATCATGGGCTTGACTAAAGTGAATTATATGAGAATCCCTATGATTTTTTCTACTTAAATGAAAAAATTAATTAATCTGAAACAGATTAGAGTGAACGTTAAGAGCAAGAATTTGAATTTTAAGAAGACGAGGCTATTCATAAAAGTAATATCTAAGATGACTTAGTTGATGGAGGTGAGGTATCTGATTTGGAAAATAATATGGCTTCTAACTTCATTTAAACTGATCTTTATAAAAGAGTGCCTATGAAAAACTATCATCACAAATCAAAGGAGTCTCTGGAAAGACTTTTTAGAATTTAGCCCATCGAGTACAGTACAAATATAAGGCAAAATTTGAAGTAAAATAGCAAGATTCACACTGAGCTATCAATTTCAGCCTTGTCTACTAATATGCATAGAATTGGTACAACTACTCAAAATGATGAATGGATAGTGTAAAGTTAGGAAAGGATTTCTGAAAAGGAGGAAAATGATGATGACTATTTGCACTTGGAAAAGAAGGGCAGAATGAATACTACCAAAGATATAAGAAAACAAAATCACTTCAAAGAGAACATCAGGTAAACAAACATTGTATCATAACCAAGAGTTGGACATTGCCAGTTCTGGCATCATAGGAGAAGAAGATCTTAAGATTTAGGTTTAGAAATTGAGTATGAGTAGCCCAAGAAGCCCAAAATTAGGAATAAAAGTACTGATACTTCTAAATTTGAGAATAATCTATTTGGAATGATCAGTGGAAACTCTGTTTTAAGTAGCAAAAGGCGGCTTCCAAATGAGTCTATTTCAATTTAAAGTGAATATGAGATCATTGATAAAGTTATCAAAGGAAAGAAAACGCCTTATGGGCAGGCTGAAATAGTTATCAGGCAGGTAGTCAAGAAAAAGAAGGTTCCCCAAATTGAGAATGTTACATCCCCGTATCGCAGCAAAATATTCGGTAATAATGCGTCAATAACTGAGGAATCTAATTCGTTTGATAGAGACTTTGGATTTCATGTGGATTTGTTCAATTTGGAGTTTAACAATGTCCCAAGCAAGATCAATAAATCTCTCTCTTACTCTGAAACTGAGAACCCATTCGCTCAAACTAACAAGAATATGAATACCTATCATAATACGAGGCGTATGTTCTCAAGATCATTTGATCACACTTAGAAGAAGAAACTGAGATAAAGTGTCCAGAAAAAAATCCTGGAGAACTTTGACAACAACTCTTCGCCTGAAGTTGACAAGAATATTATGATGTTCAAAGATAGTTTGATCGAGCCTCAATTTGACAATCAAGACAATGATAATGATTTCATCCTGGCTTCATCTATCCACAACATTTAGCAAAGAGAAAAGGGGAGACTTGAATGGAATAGGGAGAGAAAGTAGAAATATGTGTATGGGCAATCTATTAAAACAGCAACAATGGACAGGAGAGAGACTAATAGACTTTAATCGATGAGTCAAACTAGATTGCCGTTGCAGATCCCTAATTTATTTGGAGCATTCCAGTCACCTTATGAGGAAAATCTACCGAAAACTTTGCTTAAGCAATAAGCATAGTAACAATAACAACTATTTACAAATGGACCTCGTAAAACTGGAAGGAAAATCTGAAATATGATTACACAATTTATATGTACCATCAGGAAGTAAAGCATAATCAACCTACATTATAAAATAAAATTAATTGATTTTTCAACTGTAATTATCAACTGCTATATATATCTGCGGGGTTTTGGGGTTTTGGGGTTTTGGGG